TATTTAATATTTACAGTATTTTTAATTAAATCATATAAATTATTTTAAAATAATGTTTTCATTATTATTACAATTTATAGCATACATGAACATACATGGGCTCCAGAGCCCAGTTAGCGACTGTAATGCGAAATACGCGTACATTTGGGTTCACTATCGAAGGGTTCGCTGCACTCAACAAATCCACACTTATTGCCGTAATTATTATACAAAAGTTTAAAATAATTTATATGAATGAGTGAATCGAATAACCAGTTATCTCTATATTCAAACACTATGTATTGGACTATAAGTATTATATCATATTAATCAAGTACAATATGGTACTCTATTGTGTATAGTTAATAGTTCAATACTATACATAGTGTTTGAATATAGAGATAACTGGTTATTCGATTCACTCATTCATATACTAATAATAATTTAATATTTATTTATTAACCTTACAGATTTTTACATTCGTCCTAAATTACACGGTCATATTATTTCAAACATCTAAATAGTGTAATTAAACAAGCTACTTTTACTACGATTTTTGGTATGAAATCATTATACTTTCGGGTATAGAGTCGCTTTGGGATCGGGTAATGAAGTGGTGATCCCTATAAATTTCATGCATTAACAAAACTTTTAAAATCTTAAAAATAGCGATGTATTAAATCTATAATTTCATTAAAAGTACACAACACTAGTAATATAAAACTTTAATACAACAATTAGTAACTGAAATTATAAGCTATTATTTTATTAATCACACAAAAATACACATTTAACTATTAGAAATATTATAATGTGTTAACTTTTATTTATATTAAAAACTAATAATTTCTAATATTTAATTCAAAATATAAATAATCAAAATATTCATGCATAAAATAAATAGAATTATATTATTATATAATATTATAATAAATTATTCAGTAAGGATTAAAAATTATATTGTTGTTCAAATGATAAATAATTACTATGTCTTACAACGCTAACTGGGCTCTGGAGCCCATGTATGTTCATGTATGCTATAAATTGTAATAATAATGAAAACATTATTTTAAAATAATTTATATGATTTAATTAAAAATACTGTAAATATTAAATACTGCAACATACGAGGTAATATAGTTCAAAATGTATTTTATTATAATTTTATGTGATTAGATTGTTACATAATTTAACGCGATTAATTTTTATAATAAACATAAGTTTGAATTGAGTGCGGTTTCAACAAATGCGTGACTTTCCCTTTATTTTGCACGTCATTTATGGTCACATCTATGGCATCCCCGCTTAGATTCAACACAATAACTACAGTCCCGCCATCGGGGCGCTCAAACACCGTTGCCTCAAACTTATCAACACTAGTCCCGAGACTGTTGTAAACCCGTTGGGATCCCGGTGCTAGAAATTTACTATAATGTCCCATAGCGTAGTAGATAGGCTGTTTGTAGTACTCGTGACCCGTGGCATTTATGATGATAGGTGCGTCCACAAAGTTGTTCACCCAATTAGGCCCACCCCGGGTGTCGAGCGCCAGGTTCCAGTCCACCCAACCCCCGGTCCAGTGATTTAAATCCTGTGATTAAAAAATTAAAAAATACTTTATTTGTAATGAATTGCTTTTTAAAAATAGTTTAATGATAATAAAATTAATGTTCATAAAATTATGTTGCATTATTTTGCAATATTAAAATGTAAATAGCTGAATAATTGTTTTCAAACTCATACACTTACTAATATTCTACCTAGGCCATAAAAAAATTTGATAAATTTTTTAACAAATATTATATAGATTTGATTTGATTTTTATGTTAATTTTGTAAGTACAACCTAGCTACAGTCTATTAAACATTTTAAAAAATAACTCTAACGTAACCGAAATGACTACATTTAAAATATACATACCCTGATAATATCATTGGCGTATCTCTCAAACGCGTCCCAACTACCAAGGTGAACATGCTTATCCTGACCCCTCCATTCCTCGCAGGCCTCGGTAGCCAACAAAAACTTACTAGGGTCAACCCCATGGGCGGTGTCCAAATTAACAATATTGTCCACCGTATTGGCGTACCAGTGAAACGCCACGCCCGCCACATACCGGGCCGCCTCCCTGTCCCCGAGTATAGTACGGGCCCAATCCTGGATCTCATTCCTCCCGTCGTCGAACATCATTAGTTGGGTAGTGTTGGCCCCATAGCCCGCCCCCTCCATAATGGGTCCCAAATCTAGTTTTATGAAATCCCGCTGTTGTTGAGCCGTAAACCCCAAGCTAGGGTTTGCCCAATCTGGGTGTTTACCGGCACCAGGCTCATTCTCGATTGTTATGCCCCACATGGGAACACCCTGTGCTTTATAAGCATCTAGGAACCTGTTCAAATTTTAAAATTAGTATAATTATATAAAGGTTATAATGATAATTTATTATATACTTACTTGACTAGGTAATGAGCGAATGCCTTGTAGTGTTGACCACCAGGGTTACCTATTAAATAACCACCATGGTTCAATTGTGAGTTATTTTTAAGCCACGCCGGTGGTGACCACGGACTGCCAAAAAAGTTAGCATTTTTGTTTGCTTCCTTGGCGAGTTTTAAATAAGGTATCTAGGTAAATATAAATTAATAATTACTACATAGTAATATATAAAATAATTTGTTATATTTTATAGTTATAAATTATAATAACATAATATTAACATTGTTAAATTATGTACAACTAGTTAGATAAGGTACGTACGTAATGAATAGTCCCATAAAATAACATAAGGTTTACCTTATAGTCAAAGTCCTCAGCCGTGAGCGCAAAGTGTTTGAACTCAAAGTCGCCGACAGACTTATCGTCGTAACTGTAGCCATGGGTAGAGAAGTCGGAGCTGGCGATTGGCACCCGACCCAAGTTGTACTCAATACCGGTGCCCGAGTAATAGTCGCCAATCAATTGCTTCTGTAGTTTCTCTGGCAATGACTTAATGTTGAGTCCGGTCGAGTCGGTAAAGGCACCGCCGAAACCGACAATCTTTTGGTACCGACCCTTACTCCTGTCCACTGTAATAGTCTGGGCCTTAGCGGCACCGGTATGCTGGTAGTGACCAAACTTTAATTGGCTTTCCAAAAAGCGATCACCCTGTTTACTTGACTCGTAAACAGTTACTACACCTGGCCCGGTACGGGCTATCGGTGCTAACGTGTTGCAATATGTTACATTACATACGCATACTGTCGAGCCGTACCCGTAATCCCGGTGCGCACAGGGATCGTTACCGTAAACTAAATTTACAATATGTTTTATTAATTTTAAAAATTAACAAACTGGTTAATAATTCTTACCATACACAAATAACAATACAAATAAAACAATTAACTTTATCATTTTAATAAATATACATATTATTAATTGATTGTTTTTTGTAATATAATAAAATATACTGTTATTAAAAGTGTTTTATATAAAATGTTTTAAAAGTACATACGTACACAAGTTTAATACGGATCTAATTGTTTCTAGGTCTAGTGGTATCTTATCAAAATATAATTTAGAAACAATCAATATCCTTTAATAAATATAATGTTTTATACTTTTTTAAATAGTAACTTAGTCCACATGAACTTAATTGCCTATTAAATGTAACAGATAACTTTGCACCTCTTATAACATAATATTATTAAATGTAAAATACCAGATAAACTAATGAAATTTTAGATACTATCGTCATTATGAAATAAACATGTACATTTTAACAACAAAGGCTAATAAATTAATATTTTGTTGAAAACAACTTATTTTATATTGTTAATAATTTGATATGCAACATGTAGTATTATGCATTTAAAAACTTATAGTAAAATAGTTAAAACGATTTAAACCACTTAATAAAATTATGTTTATTAATATTATATAGTCTTAAAAAGTAAAATAAAATATTTTTGTTATAATAATGCACTAGCTACAAAGATTTAGTGCAAAACATACTGTATTAATTATATATATCAGACAGTGTATCTAGTTATATACATAATAAAATGTTAAATAAACTAGTAACTAAGTTATATTTATTAATAATAAAGTTGATACTTTATTATAATCGGGCAATTGGTTTGACATTTGCCGGTTTAATTATAGATAAAAACTTTAAAATCAGCCAGAATAAACTACTAAACTATTATGGATATTTAATTTTGCTTGCTACAATAATTTTCTATTTAGTATTTTTTCCAATTGTATTTTCTAACATTGAAAGTATCGTTAATGATTTAATAAACCCAAATGTTCCCAGAGTAAATAAATTATTATTCCTAATTTTAACAATGTTAAACTGTATCAGGCATATTGTGGTTATGCATACATTAAATTTTAAAATAAACTCTAAAATATTAACTAAATGTTTTAAAAATGTCCCGATAAACTCAAACTATAAAATTATCATGGTTTCTATTATATGGCTACTATTAATATTGGTTACGAATTTTATTTATTTATGTAATGTAGTTAAAAATTTACATAATGGTTCAATAGGCGCAATATTAATGTTAATTAGCTTGATATATAACCTATTCCTGTACCCATCATCATGGTCAATGTCTTGCGTTATCTGGATAATTGCACTCACCTTTGAGCACAAACTTAATATGATCATCACTAAGCTTGCTCATTTTAATAAAGGTATATATAACAATTTTGTGATAATTAAATTTGTAATAAGCAATGTTAAAAATGAATAATTCATGATTTTTATAATTAGATAAAATGTTTACTAAAATCAACACATTGTCATTTACACCCAATACTCACTATGATATGAGCAATGTCATTTCTGGAAATCTAAGTCAATATGTTAAATTAAATAAACTTCAAGATAATATGAATAACCTACTTAAGCTCGCTATAGTGAGCAAGATAATCACTCCCATATTATATATTATGTTAAGCATAAGTTCACTTGCTCAAATGAAGGATTTTAGTACATTTAGTAAGGTTCATGCAAATTCAATGATCATGTCAACTGTACTGGATGTTTGGGATGTAATTGTAATGTGTTTGGTATGCGATTCAGTTGAGCAAAAGGCTATGAAAATTAGGGTTAAATTGAATGCAATGAATACCCGGGATATGACGGACCGGGAGTTTCGGGAATGGCTTACGTTTGCGACTGTAATGCGAAATACGCGTACATTTGGGTTCACTATCGGAGGGTTCGCTGCACTCAACAAATCCACACTTATTGCCGTAATTATTATNATTCAGTTGAGCAAAAGGCTATGAAAATTAGGGTTAAATTGAATGCAATGAATACCCGGGATATGACGGACCGGGAGTTTCGGGAATGGCTTACGTTTGCGACTGTAATGCGAAATACGCGTACATTTGGGTTCACTATCGGAGGGTTCGCTGCACTCAACAAATCCACACTTATTGCCGTAAATATAAGACAATATTTAAAATAATTGATATGCTAATAATCATATATTATTTATTTATAAACCACAGATTTTTACCTTTGTTCTCAATTACACGATCATATTGTTTCAAACATCGTAACGATGTAATTAGGCTGACTACTGTAAATTTAATAAAATTTTGTTACACAATTATTATACTTTCTATGGTAATTAATCTAGTTTTAAAAATATTCCTTAATTAAATAGGACCAAGATATATTTAAATTTCTAAGAATTGTGGCCACAATGGAAACCATTGAATGACGCCTATGTTTCTACCAGGTCATACGTGTCATAAATACGGTAATAATATTGATACTATCGGGTATCACGTGTTAATTATTATATTTAGCAAAAGTAAATATTTATTAAATATAATTGTTTCTTAATTACAAATATTGACATTTATGCACAACTACGCAGTTAGATTTCTACAGAGTGATTAATCTAACAAATTAATTTTTTGTTATTACACTTAAAGTGTATTATTATTTATGTGACGTTAATTATGTTTGTTAAATGTTTAATTTATCATAATATTTCATTATTAAGATTTAAAGAATTATGTAAAATTATAATTTTTCATTGACATTGCATTACAATAAAATATTATATTGTAAATTAATTATTTTATTTATGATAGTAAAATACTATGTTATGACATATTTTATGTAATATATTATAGTGTACTAAAATTTATATGTAACTTATATAGTTTTAAAAAACATTTATACGCATCTCATTGGTTTTATGTTTAATAAGATCTTTTAAAAATATAATTTAGAAATAATCAATATAATTTTAAAAATATAATGTATCATAATATTTTGCGTTTTAATAATGACCTATTGAACTAAATTATCTACAGGGAGGGAGGGTAGTAGTTGGGAGTAGTCCAGAGTAGTTATCACCGGACAAACTGATGGTATAAATGATTTATAAATAAATATTTTAATTATATTTTTATAAATAATTGAATGAATTCTTTATAACGCCGTTAGAAGTGACGGCAGATCTCACTAAAAGGGAAGGCGTCGACAGACTTATCACTGAAACCATCAAAACGTTTTGACAGTTGGATGTGTTGGTCAACAGCGCCGGGATATACACCTCATCAGACATTCACGACGAGAATATCACCGATGAGTTTGATTTGGTGTTTATCATCGACTTAAGGGCTGTCGTGCGGACCATTCACACGGCTGTCCCATACCTCGAGAAGACTAACGGCGCTATCATTGATATGTCCAGAGTGTCCGCATTTTTACCGGTATAATATTTTAATATAAAATATATATACACTTACATTGATACTAATAAAATATGAAATAATATAATTTAATGGGCAAATCGCAACTGACATACAGTTCCGCGAAAGCGGCCATAAATATGTTGACAGAGGTATTGGCCCTCGAGTTGGGACCCAAAGGGGTTCGCGTTAATACAGTCAGCTTTGCAGTCATTTGTTCAAATACATTATTGACCCTGATGTTTAATTATAATTACAATTGTGTTATATCCCGGCCATAACAGAAGTGGACGGTATACCTAAGATATGGATAGAGTTAGTGAGACAGTTGGCACCCCTGCGACGAGTGGGCGAACCCCTGGATATCGCCAAAGCCGTGGTATTCCTGGCCTCGACTGACGCCCAATACATAACCGGCGAGAATCTGGTGGTCGAC